TGTGTGAACACAGACCTGGGATTGCCAGGTCTCCCCCCCCCTCCGGCAGGGGGTGGGGGGAGAGTTGCCAGCTCCAGATTGGAGATTTGGGGGTGGAGCCTGGGGAGGACAGGGACCTCAGTGGGGCACAGTGCCACAGACCCCGCCCTCCGAAGCAGCCATTTTCTCAGTGGGGACTGATCCCTGTTGTCTGGAGAGGAGCTCTAATTCTGGGGGGTCCCCAGGTCCCACCTGGAGGCTGGCAGCCCTATAGATGCCAGTTTGGTGTAGTGGTTAACCGTGCGGACTCTAGTCTGGGAGAACCGGGTTTGATTCCCCGCTCCTCCACCTGCACCTGCTGGATGACCTTGGGCAAGCCGTAGTTCTGATAAAAGCTGTCCTTGAAAATGAGCAGTTTCTGTCAAGAGCTCTCTCAGCCCCATCTACCTCACAGGGTGTCTGTGGTGGGGAGGGGAAGGGAAAGGCGTTTGTAAGCCGCTCTGAGACTCCCTTGGGTAGTGAAGGGCGGGGTATAAATTCAATCTCTTCTTCTTCTAGATCAGACCCTCCTTGAGAGGACCTCAGGTCAGAGACACGGAGCATTTTTAAGGAGTCAGCTCATACACTTGGGCCCAGTTTTCCTAGAGTTGCAAGCAATGTTCCCTCTAAGCTGTGGGGTCTTGTGAGCAAAAATTCTACTTTGTGCGGAGCCAGAGGCTCAAAAACTGTGAGCTAGCTCACACTAACTCAGCTTAGAGGGAACACTGGTTGCAAGGCCGGGAGATGGGGGGGGGGTAGGGTTGCCAGATCCAGGTTGGGAAACGCTTGAATATTTGGGGATGGAGCCCGGGGGAGGACAGGGACCTCAGTGGGGCACAAGGCCTCAGAGTCCACCCTGCAAAAGCAGCCATTTTCTCCAGAGGAACGGACCTCTGTAGTCTGGAAATGAGCTGTAATTCCACAGGATTCCCAGGTCCCACCTGGAGGCTGGCATCCCTAAGTTTACCCATGCGAAAAAACAAGACGTCAGAATGGATCGCCCCACTTCAGACAAGACTTTTCAGGCAAGGGGCACCGAATGCTCCTTTCTGCTAAAACAACAACAACCAGAAAGCCGGTGTGGTCCTCAAAGGGTTGGGGTACAGCCTGACGGGCTCGACTTCTACCTGCAGGGAAGGTTTCTTGCTCGAGGGACCACTCGAAAGCGGTATCCACCCCTTGTCACCTGAACCGATACCCCCAACGCTACAACCACAGAGGCAGCCCCTGCAGCAAGACGCCGGACACAGAGCAGTTTTAATCTATTTGTGCTTTTGGCCAACCCAGCGATGGTTTCCTGAAACACTCACAGGCACGGCTCCAAGCCCCCCACTCAGTCCCCAGCTCCTCCTTTTGTAAAAATCAGAATTAGACTGAGCCTACCTTGCAGGCTTGTTGTGAGGGCAAAAGAGAGAAGATGCGAATTAAAAGCTACTTGTGTGCAGTGTTCCCTCTAAGCTGAGTTAGTGTGAGCTAGCTCACAGTTTTTTAGCATCCGGCTCACACATTTTTGTCTTCGCTCAGGAAGGATGATTCCAGAGCAAACTAAGTTATTCAGTAAGCCAATTCACCTGCTCACAACTTTAATGCCAGTAGCTCACAAAGTAGAATTTTTGCTCACAAGACTCCACAGCTTAGAGGGAACATTGCTTGTGTGCGTGCATTAAGGTTGCCGGGTCCCCCCGGCCACTGGTGGGGGGGAATGTGGTGTAAGGTTGCCAGATCCAGGTTGGGAAACCCCTGGAGATTTGGGGATGGAGCCTGGGGAGGACAGGGACCAAAGTGGGGTACAGCGCCACAGAGCCCACCCCCCAAAGCAGCCATTTCCATCTCTGCAGCCTGGAGACAAGCTGTTATTCTGGGTAGGCTTGCCAAGTCCCCCGGGGGGGGGCAGGGAAACCCCCGCCCGAGAGGCCCGTTACCCACCGGCGGCGTATCGGGGCCTGGGGGGAACCCCACCCCCAAAGCGCGCGACGTGCCCAGCATGAGCACGTCACCCAGAAGTGACGTAATCGTGTCGGGCACATTGGGGCGGGGCCACAATCATCCGAGGGAAAACTCTATGGTTTTCCCTCGGATGATTGTGGCCCCGCCCCCAACGTGCCCGACACGATCACGTCACTTCCGGGTGACGTAATCGCGTCTCGCGCGCGCACAGGGACTCCCGGACCAGCGAACGACTCCCCCGCTCTTCGTAAGGTAAGGACTTGGCAACCCTAATTCTGGGTATTCCCAGGTCCCACCTGGAGGCTGGCATCCCTAGTGCAGACAGAGGTGCTGGCGGCCTTTACGACTCCCCCCTCCCCGGGACAATTTAAAACACCCGCTTCTATGGCCACATCCCCACAATGTATCTTTCAATCAGCTTCTACTTTCTGTGTGCTGTTACTGAGGAATCCGCTGGTTATGATGCTCGGGCCACGTGGGAACATTTTTATTTCCAGAGTCCCAGAGGCTGCGGTGCCTGCCTCCAGCCTGCTGCCGTTTTCGCTACGTCTGCTCTATCGACCGCAGGAATCCCGGCAGGAGAGAGAAGCCGCTTGTGCTGGGATGCCTGCTGGCCTCCATGGGCCAGGCTGACAGTTGCTGAACAGCTGGGGTTGGGGAAGCCGCTCCAGGTTTCCTGTTCACCCTCCAATCCCCTGGGGCCCGGAGCAAACGGGTGCTTGCCTGGAGGGAGGGATTTCTACAGCCCCTTTCCTCCTCCCTGGCCCGGTAACCTCCGTAGATTTCGTATGAACCAATATCATTTTCAAATAAACTCAAGAGGCAGATGCGAAAGGAAGAAAACAGGAACCAGCAGAAAGTCACTAGGATGCATCTGATACCTCGGTGGCTGCCATCTTTGATTCATACGGGTTGATGGATTGGCAAAAGCATTTACCGCAGATTAAAAGTTTGGCCCCGGGGCTTCGGCAAGACGGAGACTGAAAAGAGCCAGCTGCTGAGCAGACAAACATTCAGGCTCTGCCGTGTTTAAGGTTCCCAAATCTGGGCTGGGAACAAGGCTCCCTCTAAGCTGTGGAGTCTTGTGAGCAAAAATTCTACTTTGTGAGCTACTGGCATTAAGGTTGAGAGCAAGCAATTTGGCTACTGCATGAATTAGTTTGCTCTGGAGCCCTCCTTCCTGCGCTAAGACAAAAATCTGTGAGCTGGAGGCTAAAAAACCGTGAGCTAGCTCACACTCACTCAGCTTAGAGGGAACACGGCGTCTAAGCTGTGGAGTCTTGTGAACAAAAATTCTACTTTGTGAGCTACTGGCATGAAAGTGGTGAGCGAGCCATTTGGCAGCTGCATCAATTACTTTGCTCTGGAGCCCTCCTTCCTGAGCTAAGACAAAAATGTGTGAACCGGGGGCTAAAAAACTGTGGGCTAGCTCACTCTAACTCAACTTAGAGGAGACACTGGCTGGGAAACTCCTGGAGGTTTGGGGGTGGAGCCCGGGGAGGGTGGGAACCTTGGTAGGGCACAGTGTCATAGTAAGGTTCCCAAGTCCGAGCGGCGCTGGAGCGGGGGACTCCAGTGCTGCTCCGGGAGTGTCCGCGCATGTGTGAAGCACGCGCCCCCCCCCAACCACGTCACCCGGAAGTGACGCGACCACGCTGGGGGCGGGGCCACGACCATCCGAGGGGAAAACATAGAGTTTTCCCTCGGATGAGTGTGGTCCCGTCCCCAGCATGTCCGACGTGGTCACGTCACTTCCGGGTAATGTGCACGGGGATGTGCTTTGGAGGTGGGGTTCCCCCCGGGGCCCGATCCGCCAGCGGCAGGGAACGGGCCTCTGGGGCGGGGGAAGCCTATGTCATAGATTCCACTCTCCCAAGAAAACATTTCTTCCAGGGGAACTGATCTCTGTAGACTGGAGACAGGCTATTATTCCAGGGGATTACCAGGTCCCACCTGGAGGTTGGCATCCAGAGCCATGGGCTGAATTGGCATTCATCGGAGCGAACCTACCCATTGCTTGGAAGAAGACAACAGAATTCTGGACTGTCTGGGCTTTGGTCTGTACATCCAAACAGAGAGTGTGTTCATGTTTTTGAATGCTTCCACTCATATATTTTTTTTTAAGATCTTTATATAGTATAAGAGCACGCCTGGGAGAACAGGTGAGCATGGAAATGTACCTTATATGGGAGGAAGGTTTAAAAACTGTGGGAGAACGTTCAAAAAGGTGACTTCTCAGCCTGCTGTCTGGAACGGTTTCTTGACAAGTCCCACCGCCTCCTTCAGCATAATTTGCACAACGACTCTACTCGATTCCCCCACCCCGCTTTGTGACCAAACCTAGCCAACGTTGTGCCTTTCAGCAAGAGGCCGTCTCGTATTTCTTTCTAGTATTTCTGAGAGTTTGAACTTGCTCATTTTGGAAGCTATTTTGGAATGTTGTAGCAATAGGGAATATTCTACCCACTATTTCTGAGAAGTGACCTTTTTTTTTTTTAATAGGAAAACACTTAAAATGTTTTTTTTCCCATATGTTGTCGAAGGCTTTCATGGCCGGCGTTCATTAGTTGTCGTAGATTTTCCAGGCTGTATGGCCGTGGTCTTCGCATTGCAGGACCTGTCGTTTTGCCAGCAGCTGTGACTGGCATCCTCAGAGGTATAACACAGAAAGATGGAGTACTCTCTGTGTCAAGGTGAGAAGAAAAAATAGAGGAGCTTTCCTGAGGAGGTTCTTTTTTATATAGATTGTTTCCTGAGGATGTTTTCCCCCCTTGTACAAGGCATCTTTCTTTCCTTTGCAACCCCTGCAAGCAATTTGAAAAACCACGCTGCGAGAATTCTGAGCACAGATTTCCATATAGCTTGATGGTGTGCCAAAGACATCGATTCTGAAAGGTTAGGGAAAGGGCAGGAAACTGTATCTATACCTATTTAAATTTAATCCATCAACTGGTAAAAAGTCAGGTGACAGAAGTCGTCTTCGATCATCTATTGGGTACCCTCCAAACTACTGCAAGGCCAGGCAAAGAGAGGGAGGGGCTGTGTCTGAGTGGTAGAGCATCTGCCTTTTAAGCAGAAGGTCCCAGGTTCAATCCCTGGCATCTCCAGTTACAAGGACCAGGCAGGTGGGGATGGGAAAGATCTCTGCCTGAGTCCCTGGAGAGCTGCTGCCAGTCTGAGTAGCCAATACTGATCGGGATGGACCAATCAGGATAAAGCAGGTTATTTTAGGGAAGAGCCTCTGCCTTGCATGCAGAAGGTCCCAGGTTCAATCCCTAGCATCTCCAGTTAAAAGGACTAGGCAGTAGGTGATGTGAAAGACCTCAGCCGGGGACCCTGGAGAGCTGCTGCCAGTCTGAGTAGCCAATACTGATCGGGATGGACCAATCAGGATAAAGCAGGTTATTTTAGGGAAGAGCCTCTGCCTTGCATGCAGAAGGTCCCAGGTTCAATCCCTAGCATCTCCAGTTAAAAGGACTAGGCAGTAGGTGATGTGAAAGACCTCAGCCGGGGACCCTGGAGAGCTGCTGCCAGTCTGAGTAGCCAATACTGATCGTGATGGACCAATCAGGATAAAGCAGGTTATTTTAGGGAAGAGCCTCTGCTTTGCATGCAGAAGGTCCCAGGTTCGATCCCCGGCATCTCCAGTTAAAAGGACTAGGCAGTAGGTGATGTGAAAGACCTCAGCCTGGGACCCTGGAGAGCTGCTGCCAGTCTAGGCAGACAATACTGATCCTGATGGACCGAAGAGTGATTCAGTAGAAGACAGCTTCATGCATTCGGGATGCATCACCCTTCGTACGCCAGGTGAGTTTCACTGATGTTCCCCGCTACCAAACAGGTCTTTAATAATGCTGTGGGCACTCGCTGGAGCCAATTAGGTTTTCCGGGCCTGTGATCCTGATAAGAGAGAGCATCCCTTCCCACTGTGGACTTAGGGCCCAGGGAGTCAGGCGACAAGGCCTGCGTTCCCAAGCAGGAAACAAAAACCACGTAGGCGAATCCTGAAACTGTGAGAAATAGTGCCAATCAGCATAAACGCGCTGCTTCATCTGCATACTTTAATCGGTTGCGTAATCCGCTGATTTATTTCACAGCACCCTGAAGCTTTGTAGGATAACAGGGCCAGTACTGGGGAGAGGCTGAGGAAAGAAGCGCTCAGGCATCGGCTGCAAAGGCGGCGGCGGGGGGAAAAAAGGGTTACTGGGGTTGGGCGGGGAACTCAAAGGGAGAAACGGAGAGCTGAAAAGAGTGAGCCTTCTGCTGGGCCGGGATTTCTTTTAAGCAGGGCTCGCTCTGCCTTCAGTGGATTTCTCCGTTACCCTGAGGACCAGAAACTTGCGTCGTTTTCCATAAACATTTAGGTTTCTGGAACGACGCGGCACATCCTGCGCCGCGAGTTCCGATTTCGAAACTTGCTCCGGCCACGCAGATTCCCAGACTCCCACCTTCTAGCGAAACACGCGCATCCAACTCGCCCACTGCCGGATGAGACTACGGGGAAATAAACAGGAGGCGTTCAAAAAGTCCTCTCCGCGTGCTGCCTGTCTACACCAGAGCCCGGCCCGAATCTGCTAACCACACCGATCACGGCCGCCTGGGCCACGGCAACACTCTCGCATCATTAGGGCGAACCACAGCCAGCGCCACAGGAATCTGGAGTACGGCAGAAAGTGGACGAGGCTGTACCGAAACCGGAGAAGGAAGACTCAAGAGACGGCAGTGCTAAGCTCTGATCAGATGAACCCACACCCCGCAAACCTCCCCCCCCCTCCCGAGCCACATCACCATAGAGATCCTTGTTGATTTTCTCCCATTTCCTTTCCAGTCATTCAGTGGGTGGAGGAAACAATTAGAAATATTTCTTCTTCACTGCTTCCTCCTTAAATCTTGCTCCAAGTTGAAAATAGGGTTGGGTAGATGGTTTCAACAAAAATACTGAAGAGGCTTGATAAAAATTTATCGACCGATACACGCACACGGGAATCTGAAAGGACTTGCAGGGGGGCATTTCATTTTCCCCTTATCCCTTTCTCCCACCCAGGGGTCATTTCGTAGAAAAAGAGGTGCAGGAGCTCATTAGCATAACTTATTTGCATAGGCCACTCCCCCTGACATCACCGGAAGTGTGTCAGAAGGCAACACCCACCGCTCAGGCTCCACTGGACTGTTTTGGATCGCTAGCTATTGGGGGGTGGGGGAACCTGCAGAGCTTGTACCTGAATAAAACTTGCCACTGGACTGTTTTGGACGGGGGGGAGCTCTGCAACTTACCTGGCTGCTTCCTGCTCTGACTGAGGGCTGCTGGGAGCAGGGGGTGGGGCTTGTTGCGTGTGCCCGCCCCCTGGGCTCTTTACTGCCAGAGCTCCGCTCCTGTGAGCTCCTGCAGGAAATGACCCCTGCTCCCACCATTTCCCCATTCCCTCCCCTGGCACCCCCTACAGCCTCTCCCCTTTCCCTGCTTCCTTCTCTCCTCCCCACTCACCAGCCAACCAACCCATCTTCAGCTTTCCCTCCTTCCCTCTCCCTTGTAGCCTCTCCATGGGAAAACTCTGCCCAAGTTGGTGCGGGCTGAGCTGGGCCCAGTTGCATGGTTGGAAATGTTCAAGGACTTGCGCAGGGGGACGCCTCACTTTCTCCTGTATCCCCTCCCCACGCTATTTCCTAATTCATCTGAAGAAGTGTGCCTGCACATGAAAGCTTCTACCCGGAATAAAACATTGCTGGTCCTAAAGGTGCCACTGGACTCGGACTTTGTTCTATTTTGCTTCACATCAGCACGACTGCCCACCTGAAATCGAAATTAATTACTTATTTACTTTATTTATAGCCCCCCTTCCTTGCTGAGGCTCAAGGCGGATGACAGAGTGTGAGAAAGTGCGATCAAATGGCTCAGGGCATCCAACAAACAACACAATAGGACATTAGTAAAGGTTCCCTTGCTCGAAAGCCAGTCGAATCCGACTCTAGGGTTGCGGTGCTCATCTCCGTTTCAAAGCCGAAGAGCCACCGCTGTCCAAAGACGTTTCCGTGGTCATGTGGCCGGCATGACTAAACACCAAGGTGCACGGAACGACATTACCAGGGCTATTTTTGGGCAGGAACGCACAGGAACGTAGTTCCGGCTGGCTTCGGAGTTGGCCACGGCCACTACAGCCAAAACCTCTGCGCCTGCGTGGCTACAGAGGGAAGGCCTGGAGAGCGACCCCCCCCCCCCAGGAGTCACCGGGGCTGACCCGCCTTGGTTCTTGAAGAAGAGATCCAGCTAGCCTGGGCAAGCTGGAGCAGGGCAGTGTTGGGGGACTGAAGTAGAAATCCAAGAACCCACTGCGGGCTCCTTATCCGGACGCTCGCCTCTTGTTTTATTCCCGTGGATATTGAAGGCACCATATAAAAGTAGGGCAATAATTTCCTCCCAGCTCCACAATTTTAATTGCGTTTTGCCCAGCTTAAGGGCCAAACTTGACACAATTTGGGAAGAGGCAGTTGTTTTTTCTCATGCCGTCGTCTCACGGATGTATAAAGTGGGCTTAATTTTTAAAGAGGGAAAACAGATGAGGGGAGCTGAACTCTGACTCTCCCCCCCCCCCCGGCAGCCGTTTCGTTGCGGTGCCCGCTACCTGTTTTCAAAATTCAAAAAGTGCCCGCAGGTTCAAGAAGGCTCTGGGAAGAGGGGACGTCTGCTCGAACCACCACAGCACACTGGCTCCCATTTCAGAGAACAGTTGCTTGATGAAGACCAGCTAGATTCGCGGCTGAAATGTGGTTATTTCTTGATTATAGCTCAAAAAAAAAAAATGTGTACCTCTTTGCCGAACGGGGTTTACATTGTGCTCTCCTCCTCCATTGTAAACTCACAAGAACAACCCTGTAAGGCAGGAAAGGCTGAGATAGGATTGCCAGCCCACAGGTGGGAGCAGGGTTTTTGTTTTTTAAAAAAGGAGGGGGAACAGAAACATCTTTTATCACTCCACTCCACTTTTTAAAACACCCAGCCGGATTAAGAGTCCTGGAGAACGTGAAGATTCGTACAATGTTTGGAGGTAGTTCGGTTGCCATTCCACAGCGTTTGCTTTTAGATTTCTTCCTCTTAATCAGGTTTCTAAATAAGAGTCATCAGCCTTAACCAATTGGATAAGGGACATTGGTTTCTTATCTCTTTACATATGCTAACTGGTTCAGTCCTCACATACGTACTCTCAACAAGATCTCTTCCCTCTGTACTGTAGTGTATTTCTTTTTCAGAATAGTATATTAGAATACGGAATGTAATGCATGGAATACTGGAATGTTCTGCTGACATACCACCGCACCCACCTCAAAAAAGAAAGAAAAAAAATCCCTGTTAAGTGACCTCCACGCTCGAGAGGAGACGAAACGTGAGTCTCAAGTTTACTTCCCACATCTAGAAAAGATGCCTTTACACATTTATCCCCTATTTTGACATATTTATTGCTTTGCTCTCCTTCCCCCCTTAATTAAAAATCAAAACAACTGTTGACCTTACAACCTTAGCTTGTTAGTTTTGTCTTTGCATATCTTACAACATCTTCATCATGTGACATGCTGATTTGCTGTTCAGCCCCTGTCTATAAGTCTGAACTCTCGCTTCCTTCCCAATGTATTTGAAAAAGCGTGCATGCACACAGGAGCACATACCTTGAATCAACCTTCGTTGGTCTTAAAGGTGCCCCTGGACTATAAATTTGTTCTGCAGTCATAACCAAGATAGTTTCAGAGGGTAAGCCACGTTGGTCTGCAGTAGAAGAGCTGGATTCGAGTTCAGAAGCACATTCTGGACCAACAAGATCATCAGGGTAAGAGCTTCCAAGAGTCAAAGCTCCCAAGAACATAAGAGAAGCCAATGCTGGATCAGGCCAATGGCCCATCCAGTCAAACACTCTATCACACAGTGGCCAAAAATACCAGGTGCCATCAGGAGGTCCACCAGTGGGGCCGGGACACTAGGAGCCCTCCCACTGTTGCCCCCCCCCCGAGCACCAAGAAGACAGAGCATCCCTTGCCCCAGACCCAGAGTTCCTATCTATACCTTGTGGCTAATAGCCACCGATGGACCTCTGCTCCATATGCTTATCCAGTTCCCTCT